GTTCCAAGTTTAGATGTAACTTCACCCATCGATTTCGAGCCAACACCTCTGTCACCCGCTTTGCAATTTTTTGAAGGGGTGGACATGTCAGGAATGGCAATGAGAGCTGGCTTGAGGCCAGGTTAGCTTGATTTGAACCTTTGAAAAATATCAGTAAAAAAACAACAAATTTAGGTGATTACCTGCTTGAAATAGACGGTATCGACGTCAGGAGCGCAAGTCACGAACAAGTAGTGCATCTTATTCAACAAGCTGGTGCTACCATTACCCTCAAGGTAGCATTTTTGAGATTCCACCATTTTTGGCACACTGTCAATTTTATGTTTTCCAGGTAATCACTGTTGATCCGTCACTCCCAATGACCCCGGCTGGAACGTATCAAGGACCCAGAATTCGACCAGGTGAGCTACTTTCTTAGTGTCACCAAGTGACGGGCCGAGACACCACCTCTTGACTGGTACTTAACATTTCGACAACAAAGCATTAGATCTGTTTTTTTCTCGAGAACAGGGAGACTGACTTGATTTGTGTTAATTTGTTCCGTGTGCTAAGGTAACAAACCGGTGTGACTACGGAAAAATGAAGCTAGCAAGTGACAATGTAGTTTTTGTTGATGACCATGAATGCTTTTGTGCTTGTTTTTAGCTAGCTAATCACAATTCTTGTTTTGTGCACTGTGGCGTCTCTAAATTAGTTCACATACTGTTCTAACTATATGCGGGAAAGTAGTTTGTACGTTGATGTATGCGATTGCACCACATTACGTGTAGAATTCTTATCGAGGTTTTTCAAATAAAATAGAGACCAAACAAGGTTGAGGTTTGAATTCAGAAATGGTTTACACGTTTCGAGTAGGTTGAACTAAAGCATAAAGTAAATAAAAGGACTAAGTAATGGGGACGCCTATTTTGAGTTAGTGTCTCCACAGGCATTAATCCTTCTGGCAGAAAGTGCATAGGTTCAACATGCCAGTATTTCGGTTTGACGCTCATTGTGCATCTCATCTGCAACTGCACATATTAAGCTACAATCTGGACTAAGCTACGACTTGGCTCCACAGTATGTACAATTCCAAAG